TTCACCAAGTCCTCTTTTCTTATTATGTGCCCTCTGATGTTATGCATTTCTCTAAAACATTGTCGTTGCACTCGTGTTCAGCATATGTTATCCTCAATATCCTTCTGTAGAAAGACATTTCTATTGCTTCATTTACTTGCGTAAATGGATGGCTGATCAAGGTTTAGGAGAGATAACTAAAACACAACATTTATAAATACATACAAAGGATATGAACTTGTGGAGAGCCATGATCGCTAACATCCTGAGGTGACACAGCACATAGAAGAAGTTTGTCCTCACTATCAAAAGTAAATGAAGCAATAGAAATGTGGTTCTACGGAAGGATGTTGTGGATACCATGTACTGAACATGCGAGCAATGGCAATATTTTAGATTAAATGGAAACGAAAAGGACACTTACGAAAAGGACACTTACACATAACATCAGAAAGAGAGAGTTGAATCTTCTAGGACGCATAATAAGGAAAGAGGACTTAGAAAACTTGTTCCTCACAGGACATATTGAAAACAAGATGGATAGAGGAAAACAGCTAATAACCTACCTAAGAAGATTGTGTAAATGGTTGGCAGAACAGGGATTAGAAGAGATAGTAAAAAGACAAAATTTACTGAGGACTACAAAGGAGAGGAAGTTGTGAAGAGCTATGATCGTCAAAAATCTTGAAGGAACACGGGACATAGAAGAAGAAGAAGAAGAAGAAGAAGAAGAAATGAAATCAAACAAGCCTAAATTCATGTCTTTGTTGACATTGCTTATTTTATTGTCACCTTTATGTTATACGTGGTATAGAATATTAAAAAAAAATATGCATTTGACTGTTAAAATAAGTTAGAATTATCATTAGGTACAGATTTGTAGGAAAAAACTAAAAGAAAAAAGTAAATAAAAACGACTTAAAAGAAGCAACCAAATATGTCACATTAATATGGTTATTCATTTTCGTCTTGTGGGAGTTTTCTTTCTGGCGGCTGAGCGAATAAAAAGTTAGACAAACTTTCCATTCAGATAAGAAAAGACTCCTATTTTTACTAAGCAAGTAAATATATTGGCATAAGGTAGTTATTAAAAAATAATGGTATCGAGGAAAATAATTGACAGCT